CGCCTCCCGGCCGCGGGAGGAGGAGGAGGAGGAGGTGGAGGCGGCGCCGCCTTCTCCGCGCCGCGCGCCCGAGCCGTTGTCTGCGCTCGGCTCTGGACCAGTTTGGGGAAGTTGCCGGGGCCCCGCGTCGTCCAGATGTGCGACCTCATTGAACCACAGCCGACCGAGAAAATCGGCAAGATGAAGAAGTTGCGGAGAACTTTGTCGGAGAGTTTCAGCCGCATTGGTGAGTGACGAGCTGTACCCGGGACCCTGCCAAGCACCCTCGGCTCCCGATCCCTCGGCCCCGTGCCCCCGCCGCGCTCCAGGCTCTAGGCGTGCAGCTGGCACCCTGGGGGTGCGGCGGGGACCCGGGATGGAATGAATAGTGCTGGGACATGGGGGAGGGTGAATACCAGAAGGAAGGACATCCCTGTCTCTCAGCATCTGGGACTTCATTTGTGGACTATCTCAAGCCTTCAATTTGGGTTCGTCCTCCCCTCCACTAGTGTTTGGGCTTTCGCGCCCGCAGAGGATGGAAAAGGGGACGTCTCGGCCCCAAATGCGCACCGGACTGTGCGGCTGCCCTGATCACTCGTTATTTTTTCCGCGCAGGCTTTGGTGTTGGGTGTTTAATCAATAATTTAGCCTTGGAGATTGGCGAAGCCTTGGGTTGTGCCACAGTATTGTTTAGCATATCCAACCTAAAGGGAAGTGGGACAGATACCTTGGGACCTTTTGTTCGGTACTTCGGGTCCTAGAAAACGAGATTGGGTGTTCAGTTTCGAGGTCTCTGAATTTTCAAACTGCTGGAGAGAAATATGCGCTGTGAAGTTGTCTGGACATTTAGGAATTAAGTCTCTCCAACTTGTTCCATGTATTAGAGCTCCGGGGCTATTGTCTTTAACCCGGGGGGACCTACTGATTAACAAAAACCGACTGAGGAATGTTTAGGATACTCAAAAAATAAATCATGTCACAGGCTATAACACGGTGACAACAGTGGCATGTGGAATGGATTTGTTCGATTTTGAGTGTTGGCCATAGAAATCCCCTTTTAACCTGTAGAAATAGTTGTCTCCCCTGCTGTCATAACTTTCACCAATACAGGTAACTGCACCCAACAAGAGAATCCTACAAGCCCCCAAAGTAACCCATACTAAGAAACCTCCAGCCTTTGTTTCACATGTCATCCATGTTAATGAGGGTGTTAATGGAAATTAATCATAAATGGGCTAATTTCTCAAAATAAAACCCCGAGGTGCCAGTGAGTCCTGTAATCATCCTTCCATCCATTCATTATAAAGTACGCAAACTTTCTTCAAGAGAGAGAAAACGTGGTCAAGATTTAGTCAATTTTTTTTCTTAAAATTAAATGTCAATTTACAAAATCTTTCCTAAGAAAAGTAATATTGGGAAACCATAATTTAGTTCTGGTTTTATTTATGTGTATTGGATATTTGCAGTTTCACTCTTCAGAGTTAAGAATGCATATGCTGCATTCAGATGAAGTTTGAAGCCAAGAAGAGTGTGAGAGTGAGGTGTTGAATTCTGTGCATCATCAGCAAGGATGTTTTAACCCCTAGCCCAAACCATCACAGAGGCAGGTCTTGGAGTCCATTAAGTCCTGCTCTAAAACACTTTAACTGTATATTTACTAATGCTAATGACTCTGTTGGAGTCCTTCCAGTTTTGTGTTAAATAATTCATTGCAGTTGAGTCTCAGTAAGAAATCAAGGACATTAATATAAAAAATTCCTTATGTTTAAATAATTTCAAGGTTTTGATTGACAATCAAGAAAATTTGGATTAACTACAATGCTGGTTAATGGGGCATTATAGCTAATTGGATTTTCTAGCTTATGGAGATTTAGTGATATGAAACTCCTTTGAGTTCAACTCTTGTTAAAAATATCTCCTAAGATCTAGTGGATTTTATATCCTCGTTTTGGTACAGAGAAGTAAACATAACTGATTATTTCTTGTATTGAAGGAGGGTATGGTTCCAAATATCAAGTCAGTATGGAATACTGTGAAAGGAGATTTTGAAGTTTAAGTGATTATAGTTGTATATATATACCAAGCCAAGGATGGTCATTGGACATACCATTCCAGAAAAAGAATTCTTTCTTATTTATTTTCTCAATTTTTCCCCAAAATTGAAAGCAGTGAACTCATTCTGATAATTTCAGGATTTTGAGATGCTAGAGGCTGTTAAACTGAGGCTTTAGGATGGATTTGTATAGTGCATGAGCTAGGAATGAGACTGGGTGTCAGACTGGGGATTCCTGGTGTTGCGACTCTAGCTGAGTGACCTTATAAAGTCTTATTAACTTCTGCCACCTTTAGTTTTCCATGTACAGCTCCATTTTGTTGTTGACACTTAGTGAAATAATGAACATGATTTCCTATGTGATATGTAATAAAGACTCGATAAATGTTCATAATATCTTGTCATTATTAGGATTATGTCATACTGACATAAAGGAACTTATAGGTAGAAAGCAAGAGAAGAGGGAAAGAGGCCCCTGACTTTGTAGTAGAGCCATCCTGAAAACAGATTGGGTTTTGGAATTAGGCAGGTCTGGATTTGAACCTCATTTTCTTTACTTATTGTATATCATGGGCAAATGTAGTAATTCCCTGCACTCCAGAGTTTTCATCTGTAAATATTCATAAGTTTGTGGTGAAGATTTAATCAGACAAAAATCCCTAAAATATCTGATGCAATGCCTATCTCATGGTGAGATCAATACTGGAGGATGTTGTTATTCCTTCCGATTTTTCTGTTTATATGCCCCGTTGTCCTCTTTTCTTCATTGGGACTTCATGAGGAGATCAAAGAGTGAATGGTTTATTTCTGTTGAATAATCCAACACTGCAATTTATTCATTTCCTTCAGCCAATATAAGATGGGTTTTGAAAAAAACATAATGACTTTGTTTTTTAATATGATTTAAAGGTGTAGCTTTTATATGGTGAAATGTACAACATAATTTTTTGGCTGTAAGAAATCACTAATCATTTATCTATAGAAAATGAGGATGATGCTTGAAAGTATGTGATATACCATCTTAATTATAACAATAATTCTGAGTCCAAAAAGTAGGAAAGCTAATGTTTAATTTATTTATACATCAGAGATTGTGCTGACTTTTTCACCACCCACCCCAAAAACAGCTGATCTGAGATTATTAAATCATAAAAGGTCTAATAAAGCACATTGCCTTTCAAGCCATAGTGTTCTAATGTATAACATCTGCCAAAGAGTGACTATAACATAGCCATGGTTCTTTTATAAGATAGGTATGATTGAATTATAAAGTGAACCATCAATTTCAGTAGTGAGTATTTATGGTTTTCTGCTAAATAGTGTCCATGTGGGCCCTTATTTAGCAATACTTTTGTTGTCTCACACTTTTTAAAAATTTTAAAAAAATTTTTGGCCAACATAAAGACAAATAAATTTAATTGTTGGACAGTTTGAGTATATTAAAAAACATTTCTTCTTTTTCTTTCTTTGCTTCTTTTCTATTTCAGAATGATAGTCTAGGAGGAGAAAGGCTCTGTGTAATCTCCAATGTATGATTAAGGTCAAATCTGACATTTCTTCATATTATATTCA